ATTTCGGAGAACCGGTAGAATGATAATCGATAGAGTAAACAGTTTAGAAGGGCGGGAGCGCCTTCCTTGTCTATCCGAAACTCGCCCTGTTTGTTGAAGTAATCATCTTCCCGTATATGTTTCCCTTTTTCTGTGCTCCCGGCAATGCGCACCATCCAGAGGAACTTGTTGATGTCTATAAATGAGAACACTCCTATCGTTAGCGTGGCATATTCAAGACGGAATATTAATTTACGAAGGACACGCACCATCTGAAGACTGTCCAATGAGGCCGCCAAATATAACGAGAACGTAGTCCACGTCGAGCTCGCGCATGATCTCATAGGCTTCGGGTTCTGGTGACGCCATTGCTTGGCCTACTCGGCCAATATGAGTATTATTCCACGTGTTATTGTCCACAAGAACGGTTCTATTGGCCATTGCAGTGATCTGGTAGCCGTAGTCCCACCAGGACATTATCTTAGCATCCTTTATCAAAACAAATGTTTATTAATTATGAATCACGTCATAATCTTAATTTGCACGTCAATAAATAAATAATGAGTAAAGTTGGAGTAAAATGGTGGCATGATTCGGTTGGATCGTTAGGCCGTGGTGAACACATCGTGACTACAGGCTTAGGGAAAGGGATTAATATTATTCATGACTAGGCAATTATACTGATGCCACCACACCATCTTAGAATACCAACGCTTAGATCGTATGCCAAGTCAAACGTCTCGGGGATGCAAGACGGGCTTTAGTTATTGTTCCGAGTTTAATTACGGTCCATGTGTTGACGTTGCGTTGGTGGTTCTTGAAAATTATTCTTGGCTTGAGGGGAATCCCTAGATTTTAAGGATCAATGTACTTATTAACTGATCAGCATACGTCAATTCGAGATTACTCAAACCAAGGAATGGATGATACTTTCAAGAGTCGGCGCATTCCCAGACGTTTCGCCGACATCTTCAGTGAGTATTGCCAGTCTTAGCACAACACTACAACTCGTCAAAAAGACAAGTGAAGCCGATATTTTGACCAAATGTCTGCTAAACAATTATGGTGTCCTTCCTTTCGCCTTGGGCTAATCGCCAATCCTATATTCTGGTATCACCCCTTCACTATTACAATTTTTTACTTGGTTATTTAAATGTGGTATGGCGTGCCTTTTTGAGCGGCTAACATGAGGATTCTCAACACTCCACGTTGGCTTTCTCACCCCTCTTCACCCTTGTGCTGGGAATGTTTACCCGAGTTTACCCCATTATACATTCCTCCCTCCATAGGTCTTATCTAAGTCTCCCTCTTGCCCCGTAGGATCCATCTGCTATCTCCCTGGTTCAGGTACTTCACTCGACCCATGCCACCCCATCCGTGCTACCCGAGGTGTTATTTTGCACACAGCCTCTGGGATACTAACTTGAGACTAGTGAGTAATTCTCATGGTCAATCCTTTGCTTCATGGACCATGTCTATGGTAAAACAGATCTACTTTCAGCCAACTACCTTTAGTCTCCGCGCGTCAATCCTGTTTCTATCCGTAATACCAAGTCTATGACTTTCTAGTCTCTTGTGTGCCAACCCACAAATGTTGTGGTTCAATATTGAACCTAATCAAAGCAAGTAGTAGCACACAAGAGACTAGGGCACAGGAAGTCATAGACTTGGTATTATGGATATAAACAGAATAGACGAGGTGGAGACTAGAGCTAGTTGACTGACAATAGACCTGTTAGATAATAGACGTGGTCCATGAAGTGAATGTTAAACGATGGGAATTATGCAGGGGCTTTAGCCTCAAGTCAATCTCCCAGATGCAGTGTAGAAGACAACGAGTAGCACAGATGGCAGTGGTCGAGTGAAATATTTAAACTAGGAAGATAGCAGACGGACCCTACGAGGCAAGAGAGAGACAGATAAGACCTATTGAAGGACGATGGCGTAACAATATGGCAGACTCTGATCAACATTCCCAGCACAAGAGTGAATGAGAGTGAGAGAGGTGAGAAAGCCAGCGTGGGGTGTGGAGATTCCTCATAAAATCCGTTCACAAGGGCACACCATACCACATTTAAATAAGCAAGTAAAAAACTGTGATAGTGAAGGGGTGATAGGAGGATATAGGATTAGCGATTAGCCCAAGTTGAAAGAGAGATACCACGATTGTTTAACACACATTTGGTTAAAGGATCGACATAACTTGTCTCTGACGAATTGTAGTATGGTGCTAATAATGGCAAGGCTCAATGACAATGCCGACTAAGATGTCTGGGAATGTACTAAGTTCATGGTCCGGCTCTGGAAATTATCATGCATACTATGGGCTATGTGTGTTCCTCTAGGTTTTCCTACCAATATGACCAAGTTGCGAAAACAAGGTCAAATAACTTTTATAAAATTATTTCGCTCGTTTAAAAATTAGTTAGTCTTACAAGGCAATAATTTAAGCTAAATTGATCCATATTTTATCCTTATAATCAATAAAATAAAGCCACATATGACAAGCTTCAAAAAATAAATTAGTTCTATGTGATATAGAGTAGGAAATGTGAACAAAATGTTTAACAATTTGTTATTTAGAAAAAAAATAGCCACGAAATCCAAGCGAAACCTGGTTAAAGCACTTCGGAATTTTCAGGCTTCAGAATATTAATAATAAAGCCATTTCAACAAATGCAATCAGTCTTCAGCCGACTATTGAGTAATTCATGGGGACTTAAT